TGGCCTGTGCTACCTCACTCTATCTTACTAGAACCTAGCTTTCATCTTTAAGTTGGTAGAGGACAAACTAGTAAATGTTTACCAACAACTGAGTATTGGAAGCCTCTCTTGTCGGTGGTGACTCAGGAAAATAGCAGCAGAGTGTCATGGTATACAGAATATTACAAACGTAAGTCACCCATATTGACTCTCTCAGTGTGTTTTTACTGGTTCAAGTGATGCCATAAAAATATTTCCACACATAAGAATCGTTATATTAATACTTTTGTTTGAATGCATGTTTCTTAATTACTGTTGTAATGATAAGTCTTTACTCCAAAGCTGCCCAAGCCCTGCCACCAAGTGGCACCTTCCACCAGCTGCCCGAGTTCCACCCGCTGCCTTGTTAAAGTCCCAAGTAACACACAGAGACTTATATTAGGTACAAATGCTGCTTGGCCAATGACTAGGATTCTCATCTGCTAACTCAGTCTTAATTATCATAAGTCAATATATTTTATAAGACTTATCAGACGCCAGCGGAAGTGTCCTGTCTTCCCGGGCTCAAATGGTGACTCCGCACTTTCTCCTACCTTTCCCAGAATACTCCTTGACTCCTAGCCACACCTATCTTGTTTTCCTATTGGCCAACAGTACTTTATCAACCAATAAGACAATCAAATACACAGAAGGACCTCCCCCATCAACTGCTTTGTGTTTTTTGGTTTTGCTGTGAAGAGACACTATGGCCAAGGCAACTCTTATAAAAGAAAGAATTTTATTGGGGGCTTGCTTACAATTTTAGAGGGTTAGTCCATGACCATCATGGTGGGAAGCAGATAGGCATGTTGCTGTAACACTAGCTGAGAGTTGCACATCCTGATTCACAGGCAGTAGGCAGAGAAAGAGATTGGACCTGGCATGGGCTTTTGAAAACTAAAACCCACCTCCAATGACACACTTCCTCCAACAAAGCCACACCTCCTAATCCTTCCTAAACAGTTAAAGCATATGAGCCTATGGGGGCCATTTTCATTTAAGCCATCTCAGTATGTATGTGTGCTCGGGTACAGGTGAGTATGTGCCACAGAATATATATGGAGGTCAGAGAACAACTCTTGGAAGTTGGTTCTCCCCTGCCGCCTCGTGGGATTTGGGGATTGAAATCAGGTCATTAGACTTATGTGTAAGTGACTCTACCTACTGAAACATCTTACTAGTGCTTTGCCTTAGTTTTAAAAACAGGTATTATACATTACTAAATTAATTTAGAAACATGATTTGTAATCTGGATATGGTTGCAATTAAGAACTTATCTTGGCAAAGCTCTGACAATAAAAACAAAGCTAATTAAAATAGGTATAGGATCTGCACCTAGAATGTTCTAAGATGATGGATATATTTTCTATCCCTGCTGCCTGGCCATAGCCACATGCCACACAAAAGTAATGGGCACTTGAAGTATAGCTGGCTGTGACTACATCTAGAATCACCATGGCAATATGCCTCTTATTTTGTCTATGAGGGTGTTTCTAGAAAGGTTAACCTGAAGAGGGAAGACTCAACTTGTGTATAAGGCAAATCATCCCAGTGAATCCTGGAGTGAATCAAAAGGAGAGAACAGGCTAAGCATCAGTATTTGTCTCTGCATCCTAATTTGGAAACAGTAAAACCAGCTGCTACATGCTCCTGTCTCTGTAAGCCAGAAAAGACCTTCCTCCCGTAAGTTGCTTCTTACCGGGTAGGAGAAAAGGAATTAATTCAGACATAGCAGAGCATTGAATTTAGCTAACTTTAGGTTACATGGACATGTCTGAATGGTAGTTGTTATAAGGAACAGTACAACCCTGCAGCTGAGAGAGAAGTAGTTGCTCAGCAGTATTAAGGTTTTCTAGCCAGCAAGAAATTGAGGCCAGCCTGGTCTACAGAACTAGTTCCAGGAAAATCAAGGCTACACAGAAAAACCCTGTCTTGGGGGAAAAAAATCACTGAGCAAAGATTTCAATATGTTAGACCAGAAGGTTTGGGACAAGTTCAGGGAAAAGCATGGTAGCATTACAGTTTCTTTACTCACAAGTTGATGTAATCCTGCACCTGCTCTTCACCCATTTGCATTCATTAGCTACCATGTGACAAATGGTAATCTGGATACAGAGCAGAATAATTATGACACCATTTCTTTTCTCAAGAAAGTCACAGTCTGGCAGAAGAAACAATAAGGCATAGTACGAATAATAGTTCATATCTACTCCAAGAACAGAATTAAGCAAGTGATGATTATGCTCAGAGGTATAGAAATGATTTTAAGGAATAAACCATCTGTGCCAGTTCTGAAGAATCTTTACCTTGCCAGGTTGAAATTAGAAGCATCCCAGACTGATGTGGCGATATGTATATAATCATGTAATCACATATGTAATCACAGCACCCAGAAGGCTGGGGCAGGAAGATTGTGAATTAGAGACTAGTACCGACTACATAATAAGACCCTGCCTCATGAGAAGAAAAGATCAGCTGCTGGGCATGGTGGCACTTGCCTATAATCCCAGCACTTGGGAGGCAGAGGCAGGTGGGGGTCTAGTATATATAGTACATTTGATGAGTTCATCCCATAGTATCAGAGAGAAAAGTTGAAATAAACCTAAAGGTTGAGGTATAGTGCTAAGTCACTGACACTATACTGATGGCATTTGGATGGGAAGTCTGGGAAAGTATCAGCAGGACACAGATGACCAGAGGGTCCCGAAAAGGAAGGAACAAGATCAGTTGTTAGCCCTCTCGTTGATCAGGGAAGAAAAAACATAAAGAATTGAGATGGAGTGGAATGCATAAAAATCAGTATGGATAACTCCTCTATTCTGGTTTCCCAAGACCAGAGAGTCAAGGAAGAAATGAACTTGAAGAAGGAAGGTGACAAGTCCATTCTAATATATGTTTGTAGTTACTACAGGACACCTGTGATGTTCTGCCACTGCTTCGGAGTCTTCCTGGACTGCCAGATTTTTATAGCTAAACCAAACTAACTCAACTTTTTAAATTGACAGATACCATTGTGTGATTTTATTGTGTATAATGGTGGTTCTCCTGATTCCATAAGTTATTTGGATTCCATTCGAGTGAGATCATGCAGCATCTGTCTTTCTGTCTACCTTACCTTCTGCATGCTTCCTCCCACATGAGCAGCGTGTAGGTCCTTAAGCTGGCAAAGTTGTGTCAAACATCTTTGGCCTCAAACTGGAATGCCTTAACTTTATCTTGCCACTCTTCTTTCCAGACTCACTCAGATGTGATGTCTGTGAAAAAGCCTTCCTGACACTTCACCCCACCACCAGGCAGACTCAGACTTGATGGTAGAGATTTGCAGGGGTGGCACCTCCTGTGATTTCCAAGCACACAGAAGGTGGCATCCCTGTAACCATCGTGGCTGGCCTACACAGGAAAGAGGACATCAGCAAGTGTTTTTCAAATGAACAAATTAAATGAAGATATCTGGCAGAGGGTTGGAAATTCAAAAACAATAATATTAAAAGCACCAAAGGCAAATATGAACACACTCTGTACCTGCCATGGATTCTCCTGCCTCATCTCTGATGCTCATCTATCCTGGGCCCATAGTTGCTGGCTCAGTTATATGTTTGGAATTGACTGGAATGGGAGAAATAATACAGAAACCTAGGGAGGATGGCTGGTAAATATTTGGGGACTGAAAAGGTACTCCTAGCCACCAGTAGCCAAAGTTAGGGAAAACCTGGCCAGCACACTTGGTTCCTTTCATCTTTCCAAACTTCTGGAAGCTATTTTCTACCACCACCTGGTGGCCATATCTATAGCAAGTTCCCATCAAGGGAGCTAAGGGAAAGCAGATGATGCACCAGTGTACCCCAGTTCAAATGCCACCCATGAGAATGCACAGGTCTGTGTGTACTGCACCTTATTCTGATAATAGCTCCCAGAGCTTGTTACTGGGCCTCTAAAGCTACCTCTGGTCTACAAAAGACTGAGATTTACTGCTGAAGAAGTTGATCCCTTTTTCTGAGCCCCCTCATTGACTCTCTGAAGGATCATCATAGAGATAGAAGAGCAGATCTGGCTCCTTGCTGTTCAAACCTCACCCTCCAGGTTACCAAAGTACTTATGCGAAACCCAGGCTAACAATCACTCTTGTGAAATGAAAGGCTTGTGGAGCCTCTGATCCAGGTGGACTCTCAGACATCATTGAGACCTACTAGGTCACATCTGGGAGAGCATCATGATGATGTCACAGGGTGTGTCAGTAGCAATGCTGGGGCATAACATAAGTTGCCCTCTTTACAGTTCTTTTCTTTAATTCCTGCCTTATTTCTCACAACCATCATTTAAAATAATAAAAATAATACCACTTTCTATTCTGAATATGGTTCTCAAATAGAATTCCTTTTATCTTTAGATATCTGGAAAGAATCTCAGGAAAGATTCCTCTCAACAAACCATGATTCCTGGTTGAAGATAAGCCTACAACTTAAATTTAAATTAATTCTTAAAATACAAGCATCAGTGCCCATGATATGACTTCACTTTAAAGAGAAAAAGCTAAAACTCAGAGAGTAAATGACTTGCTGTTTTCTCCCACAACTTGCCACTGTCTCATAGCTTTTGTACTCATGTGTGTCTGTGTAGTTCAGACAGTGAGCAGATTGGCAGCACAACTGGTTTAGTCATATCTCTGGGGTCCAGGAATGACCCTGTTCCCTGTTAATGGCAATCACGGGAGTAAGGAGGATCACAAAGGCTAACATTACTAGAACAAACACATGCTAGATACACTAGAGTTGACCCCCTAAACAATCTTCCTAGTATGGTTTTAATCACTGTTTTGGAGATGCCAAAAGTAGAAATCTCAAGATCACATGCTAATATGTGGCAGGAACTAAACAAACCTCAGGTCTGTCTGACTCCTCAGGGTTCCCACACCAACTGGCTGCATAATGCTTTGAACATCCTCTGTCCTCTTCTCACTGCACCCCTTCTCTTCTCTCTTTTAGGAGTGCCAGCTTCTCTCAGGGCACCCGGCAGAAGAGTGATACAGCCGTGCAAAAACTTGCCCAGGGCAATGGACACTGTATCAACGGAGTCAGCGGTCAAGTCCATGGCTTCTATAGCCTTCCCAAGCCAAGCCGACACAATACAGAATTCAAAGACAGTACTTATGACCTCCCCCGTAGCCTGGCTTCACACAGCCACACCAAGGGCAGCCTCACAGGGTCTGAGACAGATAATGAGGAAGTGTACACCTTCAAGACACCCAGCAATACCCTGTGTCGGGAGTTTGGAGACCTCCTAGTGGACAATATGGATGTTCCAACCACCCCTCTCTCAGCCTACCAGATTCCTAGAACATTCACACTGGACAAGAACCACAATGCCATGACAGTGGCCACTCCCGGAGACTCAGCCATAGCTCCCCCACCCCGGCCCCCCAAGCCAAGTCAGGCAGAAACACCTCGGTGGGGCAGCCCTCAGCAAAGACCTCCAGTTAGTGAAAATAGCAGATCTGTAGCTACTACTATCCCCAGGCGCAACACCCTCCCTGCAATGGACAACAGCCGACTCCACCGAGGTCAGTGTAATCCCTAACTGAGACCAGAGGGCCAGGGAGGTGGTCCAGGCATTCTCAGTGTATTGCTAGCCCTTGATCACCCATAGACTAAGGTAAACCTAAGGACTACTCAACTCAGTGATACAAGTTAAGGCATCTTCTATGTAGTCCCCAGCTATCATTGTAACACCCACTGTGAGAGAGTGTAGCAGACTCTGCTTTGGAGATGTTATTTTGGTTTTGGAGGTTCAAATAAAACTATTTTGTTTATTTAAAACTAAAGCCAAAGATGTAAAAACTTTAGAAGATTGGCAAATTTTTTGAGCCAAACCTATGTGGACTCAAAACAAATAATACAAAATTATCTTCAGGATACTTTCATGTCACGGCAAAATCTCTGGTTGTAGTCTGAACTTTGGCTTGAAGTCCCTAAGTTCTAGCCTCACTTGTCACAGATGCATTCTAACTCTGTGTATACCCTCTGTTCAGTGAGCTCTCTTTAGAGCTTGCACAACCTCTCATTCCCTGCTGTGACAGCAGCACAGATGAGCCTCAGGCCTCTGAGGCCAGGCTTCCAGTTTAGTCAGTCAGGCTATCTGAGCAGTCATGCTGGGCTTTAGAACTGTATAACACATACACAACATGCCTCTGCCTTTCAAAGCTCACTTCTTGCTAGAGAAAAAACCCCTCAATATCCATAATTACTCTAAGTGCCATTACTAAGTATTCCCAGAGGGGAGAGAGGGCCTAGTGGGAGGCATTAGAGGAACCCCCAGGGCTGAAGTCAGGAAGCCTTCTGCAGATAGACACAGTGGAACATATCTGAGACTTAAGCAGAACTTGTGATCAAAAGGAGTGAGTAGCAAGCAACACCCTGTCCCCTGTCCCTCAAAGACACAGAAGTACCTTTGGGAAAATCAGGAGAATGGCCACACTAGACAGGGACAGGGAGAGTAAACATGGGGAGCAGCATGAGTATAAACCACCTTCCTTCCTTCATCACAGCTTCTTCCTGTGAGACCTACGAGTACCCAACACGAGGTGGAGAGAGCGCCAGCTGGTCTGCTGAATCTGTGAGTGAGAGTGTTAGTCCTTTCCTGGAGGTGGGATTTGATCAGGGCCCCTTGGGTCAATCATGGTAGAGAAGAAGGCACACCCATGTAACTAAAAGCACAAGTAGGTCTTTTGCTTTTTTTTTTTTTTAGCCAGGGAAGACTATCGTGGGTCGATCAGACAGTGCCAGCTCTGATGACAACTACGTGCCCATGAACCCAGGATCTTCTACCCTGCTGGCTATGGAACGAGCAGGGGACAATTCCCAAAGTGTCTACATCCCCATGAGCCCAGGGCCCCATCACTTTGACCCACTAGGCTACCCATCCACAGCCCTTCCTATTCATAGAGGCCCCAGCCGAGGAAGTGAGATCCAGCCACCCCCAGTCAATCGCAATCTCAAGCCTGACCGCAAAGGTGAGTCCACTCTATCCCCCTTTCTGTCTCTGGAAAGCATTTGCTTAGAGATTCTGTGTATATTGGACTTAGGGGTGTGTATCTGTGCAAATGGTGCAAATGCAGACTTCAGATCTGTTTAAAAAGGAAGCGTCTAGGATATGTCATGTAGTCTACCACAGATGTGCAGTAGTAGTAGCCCCATGATCTGCATCAAGAGCAGGAAGTGGCCAAACTGGTTTCTGCTGACCTTAGCTGAGCAGCAGGGATCCAAAGGGAAGAGTAGGGAAGTTGGGCAGAGATGTAGCCCATGAGTCTGGCCAACTAGGACTCTGAACTTGTGAAGTTGAGGCCTGCAGGGTCCTGTGCCATTGACTTTTCTTCACTGTGATTTTTCAATGCACTGTCTAAAATCAGCAGTTGTAGTCACAGCAACTGTCTCTCTTCTAAATACAATCTGATTTTATAAGAATCTGTTAGACCATGAGTCCAGTTTTGGATTTGGGAGTCAGATTACTATAGATACAGTGGAAAGGACACTGCTTACGAATGTGAAGACATGAACTTGAGTATCTCCAGTGTGGTGTCTATGGGAGTCTTGAAACTGTATAAAACTGATGGCCTTTGTAAATGTGCTTGTGTGTTCCATATAGTATGTATCTATGTAGTTTAGTCACTGATCCCTGAACTCTGTTCCTACCGTAGCAAAGCCAACACCTCTTGACCTGAGAAACAATGCTGTCATCGATGAGCTCCCTTTCAAGTCACCTGTCACCAAGTCTTGGTCCAGGGTCAAGTGAGTGTCTGTAGAAGCAGGATCTTGATGTCAGAATTGAGTGATAGCTGGCAAATTTTCTTTTGTGGAGGTGGGGGAGGTTTAAGACAGGGTTTCTCTGTGTAGCCTTGGCTGTCCTGGGACTCACTCTGT